GTCGGCCTTATAGGCCCGTATGTCACATATATTAGTTTGTATATCATGTTGGGTCTTCATATGTTGAGTATTCCCTTATGTTTTATTCTTGTTATCTCATGACGGGTTTTCTGGCTCATTTACTCATGATAACATGATAAGAAAGATATGTTACGTTGGTACTCGGTTGAGTAAGGCACTGGGTGCCCGTCGCGGCCCTTCGGTTTGGGTCGTGACACAAACGCTAGGTTGTTTTCACCTATCTATCTATACTGTTCCCTATCTATCTTATCTCAACTTATAAGGCAAAGTTACTTGGTACTTGTTCTGATGGGAAGTAACAAATGTATATGATAAATTAGTCTAAGGTACATAGACTTAATACACACGCTGCAGTTATCAACCAATTGAAATGGAAATATGCAAGAAACTCGCAAACTTATAGTATAAATAACCCGGAAGTACTAGCTAATGTGCACACTAGAATTATTCTGCACAGAATGTACAATCATTAAAACTAGTTGGGGGAAAGAAAGGCATTTAAGGTTCTAGCAATTATCTGTTATTGAATTAAAAGTATTCTTGACCTGGAACCAGCATGTGAATATTTCACCAAATTGGCCTGGAACCAGCATGTGACCCATTAAAACCTCACCTTCTAGTCCTCGAATTATAAGTATTCTTGAATGTATTTATCAACATCTAAACCATTTTAATTGTAAATTTGAGAGTGGATTAGTGGAATAACTACACTGAAAGGATTTGTGAGTAGAGTCGTCCCTTATCTTCTCCATTTTAATCAGCATGATTCTACCTACAATCTCACCATGATTCAAAACTTGAAACTTGGAGGATATCCATTTTCTCAAGTTTCAATTGTTGAGCAAGATTGCAGAAAATCTTGCTTGGACGATTGTACTTGTTGAACTATTTTTTACTCTATCTATCCTGTTTATAGATCATCCTAGTACTTGTAAACAAATAGTTTGTCACATATGGGTAGTAAAAAATTGATGGCTTATAATATTAAGAAATATGCTTTTACATCATCTAGACCTTATACTTAGTTGTGATAGGATCTTTACATTTCAACTGTTCTCTTTTCTTGAGGATATGTTTCGATAAAATTGGCCACATCACATTCGACCAAACTGACTAGTAGTAGTACTAACTTACTATAGAAACATTTCAAACATAACATGGCAGGGCGAAAGATTGGGAAAAAGCAAATGGTCAGAATTGCTACAATGAAACAGAACCAATTTCTGGATTTCCTGGAGTTTGGATGAAACAGAACAATAGATTGTATACATTGGTGCCTTCCTGGAGTTCCTGAACGAGACTAATTACACTTAATGTGATTCTAGGCAGAGAAGTAAGCTCAGCGGACAATAACACATACAAAGGTAACTACACTACAAATGAAACCAATAATAGACTATAGAGAACAAGCACACAGAGAACGTGCAAATAGAACACCTAAACACTTCAGCAGTGGAAAACAGATTTACCAAAGCCTAGGAGAGTAACATCGTCCCAAACCATCTTTGTTCTCTCGGGACAATACAGTATGCCCACTCCTAGTTACAACAATAGTAAAACTTTAGATTTAGTTTATTCTTGAAATGACTAAGACCTTCATGTTCGGTACTATTTTACTTTTGATTTTTTTGACTCAGGCACCAAAAAACAATTATGTTAAAACAAGACGATATTCTGGATCTAATTACCTTGTGATGATTTGAGTTCCAATATTTAAGAAGATCCTTAAAGTGAGATTCCGGAATATCTACTAGCCTATTCTCCATTCGAAGCTCATCCTTCTCATAGGTTGTGAAGTGAGTTGTCTTCAATTGACTCTTATACTTTCTCCAAGCACTACAAACTGATTCAAAAACCCATTGTTTTGCCTCGTCCAGAATGTCATATTTTTCCTACAAATTTAGTGCAATTGGGTTAGTGTAAGAAATAAGAAATATCATCCATGTTTATTGGACATTGGGAACTTCATACCTTGATATATTTCCACATATAATCTTTTGTGTCAAGTTTCCTCTAATTAAATACATTAAGAGGACAAAAAGTCTCAATCCTTGCCAATGTGCCGAGGAAGCTACCCCAGTAAGCATGTATGATGTTTCTAATTACATCCTGAATAAATTAATGTGCAACAACCAATTGTCGTTTCGTACTATCGTTTATCACAAGGTAACCGGTAGCATAAGGAAGTTGCAATATACTTATACTTGACTAATTCAAATAATTAGTGAGCGTTTTACTCTTCGATATAAGATTTTTCAGCGTGAATCCGAATTTAGTCGGATCCCAATATAAACACCTATAGCACATCAAATGAGAAAGAAAAAACTAATTTAAACAAGAAAGGATATAAATAATGAGATTGTAATCACATTCGTTAAAAAGTAGGAAAGGAAATTTGATTCTCTTGCTATTAGCTAGTTAGTGGAACAGTTAGCGTATCTGATATTGAGACTAGCTCGACGACTAAAGATTAGGTTTTCATACTTAGATCAACAAATATATTTTGCAACTGTAAATATACACAAGAGTTCTCAAATCTCAATGCACAAGTCATATTGAATAACTTATGTCAAGTCATTTTGCAACTATAATCTCGGGACAAACTTCAAATTTGATTCAAATTTGCAACTACTGATTAAACTTCGCTTGATTCATAAAAGTGAGGGTGTAGATGTGGTGCTTCTTTTTAAGTATTTATTTATTTATTTCTCCAATATTTATAATAGTTCCCAAAACATAGGCCATAAACTATATAGAATATTTGTTTAATTATGCTCACTTAAAAACGAAGGAACAAGCTCGACTTGACAACTTTTTATTGTAACTTAGATCGCCTACACGCGATAGAATTTTCCCTCACTAAAGGCCTTTTTTCTTGTATTGTATAAATATAATAAGAAACATAACCTTTTATACAACAAAACTAAGGGGGAATAATGTCCATTGAAACATATGTCTCAAATAAGAAAAGAATTTGCAGATAAACCTAAAACCAACATCAGAAAATCAAAAACTTGAAACAACCAAAAACAAAAAAAGATCGGCTAATAGAGGAAAAAGTATAAGAATCTACCTGCAAACTGCATCAGATGAAGCAACAGATCTAAGGTAACCACCTGAAAATCCAAAAGAAACGTTAGACAAAAAAATTGTTGATAAATCTGTTACCTTTCTATTAAAAAAATCTAGATAAAAGAACAATCAAAACAAGAAAAGCATACAAAAAGAATCACCTATTAACAATAAATTAATTTGGGATTTGGGGAAGGAGTGCGGGAGAAGTGCCGGAGCAGCAACTATCCTTGAATAAGTGCCGGCGATGTGCCGGAAAGACCAACGGAACTGTCCTTTAGGTTTTGGGGTTTGGGAACTCTAGGGTTTGATGATTATGGTGGTCTAATGAAGGGGTATTTGATGAAACTCGACCATTAAACTCGACAAAGATGAAAAAGAAAAAGATTAGAGAGGCGATTTTGGGTGAATCGACGAGGGAGATCCGGTGTATCGATGAGGGAGTATGTTTGGATACAGTACTGGGGATACGTTTGGGACTTTGGGAGTTAGGCCAGTAATGTTAAAAATTTAAAAAATAAGAAAATTATATGTCACTAATTAGCATGGCGGGCCACTAAAATTTTCAGCGGAAAAAATGATGGAATTGAATACCCTGTGAGCACGTGATTTTTGCCCTATATGAATTACTCCTATAAATTCAAAACAAAATAATTTCTTTTCATTATTTGCAATTTTTGTGGATTTGTGGCATTTTCTGATAATGGTTTGCATTGATCTGTGCATTTTTATTTTTGTTTAATTAATGAAAAATACAAAAAAATGTTGCATCTGCATTTAGGATTTAATTTTATATTTTTTTAGGTTAATTAGTAAATTAATTTGTTTTATAAGATATCAAAATCACAAAAATAGTTTATTTTGCATTTTAACTCTTTAATTTTGAATTTTATAGTTTTCTATAAATTTAGGATTTAATTAATTATTGTAAATACTATGATGAGTGATTAATCTAATTGGGTAGGTTAATTTGGTTTTAAAAATTAATTTAGGTTTTATTTTAATTTGAAAAGAAAAAGAAAAGAATTTCAATAAGAAGTCTGTTTGGGCCATTTTATTTAAAATTCCCCAGGCCCAAACAAATTACCCGTCCAAACCCCCCAAAACCGGCCCAGAACCAGTCCATAACCCGGCTCCCATTTCCCCTTAAACCAAAACGACACCGTTTAGTCAAGATAGATCTGAGTCGTCAAGGTTAACCGATCTAACGGCTCATAAGTGAGGGACACCCGACATATATATGTCTTAACAGCCCCCTCCACCCACCTAGTCCTCTCTTTCACACCCTCAGAAAGCCCTCACCGTCTTCGCTGTGAGCCGTCTGCTGGAAATCGTCTCCGCCGGCGATGTTGCTCCGATCATTACCAAATTAACACCATAGATTCCCCTCCTTCTCCTCTTCCCAAATCTCCAAAACCCCTCCCTCGAATCCTACTAGAACTCTTCGAATCTTGAATCGAAGAGAACGACGAAAGCCCTAACTCGTCCAATCGGCCCCAAAATTACACCCTATAACCACCTCATTCCCCCATCTCAAATCCACATTCAGTTTCTCTCGAATACCCCCAAAACCGTTTGAATCTTAAATGTAGGGTTTCGAGTTCTAGAAGCCAGGGTCATTTATTTTGCCAGGACCTTCCTCCAGCGATTTCTTAATATTCATAGGCGATTTGGGCACAAAATGACGTTGCTCGTTTGTTCTTGACAAAGAACGAGCGATTAACGTTATTTAGAGACAAAATCAGTGGGTCGAATCCCGGGTTTGAGCTTTTGGTCGGTAGGTGTCTCTTTCTGGTTTTATTGGTGTCACTTTAACTGTCATTCTTCCTCGCCTATCTTCCTGCTTTTCTTTTCTTTTTCTCTGGTCAATTCAAGTAAAGTGTGACCAACATTTTTAATTGAAAATTAATTTGTGTTGCTCTATTCCTTGTTGGCTTTGTTTTCCAAGTTTGTTTCACTAATTTCTTTACTTTATTAAGTCTGGCTAAGTTGTTGACTGTTATCCAGTTTAATCTCTTAGTTCAATTCGATTAGTTTGTTTTGACAACTTAATTAATTCCCTGCATGTTTGTGTGAATTAATTGGTAGATTAGTTAGTTTGTTGATTGGGGAAGATTGTTTAAGTGTTTGTGGCATGTTGTCTTCCAAAGGCATACAGAATTCTGCTGGGCCAATTATTGGTTTGGGATTTGTGTCTCTAACCCATTTAAAAGGGAAGGACAGCATGTTCATTCAGCCAAGCCATTGGGTCACTTTGACCCATGAGCTAAAGGGTAAATAAAATAGGTTTAAAAGGGTAGTTTAGGTAATTGGAGAAGGGAATTTGTCAGTAACAAACTTAGGAAGCTTTCTAGAAGCTGAAAGAGAGCCTTACTTGGCAAGCAAGTCAGAAGTTTAAGGATTAAGTAGCAAAAATGAGAATTGAAAAGGGACTAAGGGGGTAAAGGCTGAAACCTGAAAGTTGCCCTAAATGCCTTGCCTATAAAGGCTCTCTATCTTGGCATTCAAGGGGAGTTTTTTTTAAGAGCTAAAATACAGAAAATCAGAGTCGATTGAAAAAAATAAAAAGAAAAGATTGTTCCCTTGAATTCCCAGTTTTAGTCTCTGAAATTTTTCAAATACTGAAACATTTTCTGACTCTCTGAGATAGAAATGGTTTAAATCTGGTTTTTTGAAAGTTCTGGGTTGAGTGCTGTTGCTTGGTACTGTTCCATTGGATTATAAATCAATCTTGTTTTGGTTTCATTTGCTGAAATTGGGTTGTGTTGTTGCTGCTGTCGATTTCTGCTATTTCTGTTCTGATTTCAACTCAGTTTCTCCTTTTGTTTTGATGCTTGTTACCTGGTATCTTCCAAACCATTGTCAACAAGTGATTAGGAACATGTACTTCGAGCTGAAGCCTGACTAAATACAAGTTGTTAAATTTCCTTTCATTGGCTTCTTCTATGTCTTTAAATATTCTGTAATAGACTCTGTATTACGCATGGTAGCTCGATTATCTTATGTCATTGGTATGCTGTAAAAATGAACTTGTGCTCTTTAAAAGTTTGGGGGTGTTGATTTTTCTTCTTCCTTTAATTCAGGTGAATGGTGCTAATTTCCTAGATTTTGTTACTGTCAATATTGAGAAAGAGTTAAGTGAGTTTAAGTTCAAATTTGTTTGCGAATTTAGCTTAGAATTGAATTTAAATATGACTATTTGGGTAGCTGAAGTCGAGCATGTGTTTTAGTCGCCTTTGAAACTGCTTTGTGTCGCAATTACTGTGTAGGGATATGGGTTAACAGGTTTATTGTTGTTGCAAATGGTAATTTGTTGATTGGAATAGACTCGATATCGAGTCATGATCTTCAGCCTTGATTTTACAAGGTTTGGGTTCACTAAGCCTTGGATTCTGGGCTATGTGCAAAGAAGAACAGTGTGTCACTGCTATCTGGGCTTATGTTTGAGCCCAACAACGTGTTTAATTGTTGTTGCTGGATTAACTTTGCCACAAAAGATTCGGCCTGGATTGTGAGAAATTAGCGTCAGAATTCTGTCTAATCAGTTCATGCCCATATAGTTAATGTGAGCACGTGATTTTTGCCCAAAGAAAATTATTCCCAGAAATTCAAACAAAATAATTTCTTTATTATTTTACAATTTTTGTGAATTTTGGTGTCATCTTCTGTTAATTGTTCCATTTTATCTGTGCATTTTAATTCATATGAAAAATACAAAAATATGCATTTGCATTTAGGATTTAATTTCATATTTTAGTATTAATTAAGGGTTAAATTGTTTTAGAACAATTATAAAGAAAATAACAAAAATAGTTCACTTTTTAATTGTTTTGATTGGGAATTCGTCACGAAATAGTTTTTAAATAATTTTAGGAGTTAATTAGTTTGACTTTGAAACATATTAGGACTTTCTTTTAAATTCTAAATCAGAAAAGAAAAGTATAAAAATACAACAATGAAAAGAAAATAAATACAAAACAAGAAAAGAGAAAAAGAAAACAATTGGAAAGAAAAACAAAATAAAATACATAATAAAGAAATGAAAGTGGGTTGTTACATTTGAATTAGTTCAGGCCCAAATGCCCAATATAATTCGACCCAGTCCAAGCCCTTCCCATCCGGCCCAATTCATTAATCCTCAAAACGACGTCGTTTGGGGGACAGTAAATCCTGGCCATTAAAATCTTTTGATCCGACGGCCAGGAACCCACTTCCCCATTTTAATATAATTGTCCTAAAATCTGATCTTAACCCTAAAGAACCAAGTTCGTCTTCCTCGTATCTCTTCTGTAAACACCGCCGGAGTCACCGCCGCCGGCGAATGCCACCTACGCCAACGGCCACCAGAAATACACCCGTAAATCTCCTCGTTCCCCTCTTTTCAACCATGCCATTGATTTCCCTCGAATCGATGCCAAACCTTTCGAATGTTCGTTTAATGTTTTTCCGGCCAAGTCACAAAGTGGTCCAAATCCGACCAAACTCACACCGTCGGATCTCCTCTACTCCCTTAACCCAAATCTACAACCAGTTGTCCTCAGATATCAGTTAAATGTTTCGAATCTTCAATCGAAGTCTGGCCGAAACCCTAATTGCCCCAATCACCACCAAATTAACACCATGTGACCGCCTGGGCCTCCTCTACCCAACCCCCATAGCCCTATCTCTCGAATCTACTTGGAACAGCTCGAATATCAAATTGAAGGTTTCCAACCAAAAACCCTAATGCAAAGTCTCCATGATTTCGGACCCTAACAACCCTAACTAGGTGTTTTTTTATGAAATCAGAAATTTCGAGGGATTTGGAGAAATAACCACTGGCCGGAGCTCTTTGTTGTCAGTGAGTTCTTGTTGGCATTTTCTTTTATTTCAATTCTTTTTCCTTTTCTGATTTTCTGCATGTGTGAATTCGATGGTTAATGTCTAGTTTAATTTGCGTTTTAATTTTTGTCAATATTGTTCTAATCTTGTGTCCTGATTTGTTTTGATTAAGTCTAGTTGTTTGTTTGATTTTAATATGTTCCAATTCCTGATCTTAGTTTGATTTTTAGTTAAGCCGTTGATAATTTGTTAATTAGTTTTACTAAGTTTTGTTTGAATTAATTTCTGGTGTTTAGGTTAATTACTAGTTAGTTCAGTTTCAGTTTAATTAGTCGTCGTTTGGTAGTTAGTTTGGTCATTAATTTTGAGTTCAATCGATAGATTCAACAAGAGTTTAAATTGGGCTATATTCAGAGCTTAAGAAACTGTCTTGGTTATAGCTGTAGTTTTAGCTTAAGTTCAGGGGTAGTTTAGACATTTAGGATTGGGCAGCACATGGTAGTTTAAACTAGAATCTTCTAGGGCCTTCTAGAGTGGTACTTTGGTGTAGATTTCAATAATTTTAGCGGGATTACTTGGGTAACAAGTTAGAAAATAATGGACTAATTGAATAAATAGGTAAGGGACTGACATTGAAAACTGAAAAATCTGAGGGCTGCCCTCAT